TGAGTCTTTGGCTGAAGTATATTTGGTCCCGTGACGCGTTTAGGCCAAAAGCGCTGAAGCAGCAATGCATGAAGTATCAATATCATTGATATTTCCTAAAAAACATTACATTTCAGTCTGCGTAAAGGTATTAAAATACAACTTACCTCCCAAAGGGGGACCGGCCACCAGTGTAATTGCCACACATAAATGAAAAAAACCAATTCCCTGAGACTTCTGTTTCGTGGATAATGTGGACAAAACTAGAATATTCATCGATGAAGCAATAGCACCGTCCATCATCCCATATACAACAAAACATGCTAGAAGCGGATAAAATGTGGACGATAATGTCATTAAGATCACCAAAGTCCCGGAGACAAGAACAGTAAACCTCATGATCCAGATCGGAACATTCCTCCCAAAGTCACAGAGGCGACCAGTGATGGCTCTAAAGATGGTCGATGCTAGTCCGTTAAAGAAAAACATTTGCGCCACTTTATTTCGATCAATTCCGTGCTCTTGGCAGTAACGACCCTGTGGCATGTAACAGGCAAAGAAAGACTTAAAAATTTTCGACGGAACGGAAGTTGTAATGATAAAAGATATTAATAGATACTGAGTGACATATCATATGGAGAGAGGGAATGAAAGAGGGAGGAATAACAAAAAAAAAACATGATGTATTTTGTAAAAAGGATTACGAAAATGCCCTGTAGACCTTCCTTGCAGAAAAGCGGACCCATAGTACGCATGTAGATATAATTTTTATACTTTGCTTCAAACCAGAAAAATCTCCTGACTGGTCAAAGAAGAAAAAATACAATGGAAAAGTAACATGTCACACACACTCTTCGTTACAGCCTGACCATTTTTCTTATTAGCATGGCAGAAATGTTTATTCGTGGCTGTCACTTTTCGAGTGATATGCATGGCTGTGGGGATTGGTAAAGCCTGATTGATGTGGCCAGGCCGCGCTGAAGTTGTTTATGTATCATTGGCTGTTTGTTTGTCCTTAAGAGGAAAACATCGTTTAGTGCTTATATTTAGGCGACTATCATTCACAACTTACCAAATGAACTATTGGAATGGCAATACCAAGGAATACGGTGCTACTTGCCACTAAGTTCACCAGGTACTCCTTATTTCTCAAATATGAAACATTTAAACATGAACTTCTCTGTAACTCTCGCTCGCTATTTCTCTGAGTCTCTTCAGGTTCACTTCTAGTGGCGACGTTTGGGTCAAAGGAACACGACAAAATGCAAGTCAAAAACACGATTGCTGCCATGAACATGAAGGTCATTCTCCATGAATTGTTATTCAAGAGGACCTGAATGACAGGGCTCATAATAAGCAATCCTCCACCGGGTCCAGTCACAGCAAGTCCCGTTACAAACGAGCGCCTCTTGATAAAGTACCTTTGTAAGATGATCAAAACAACAAAGAACACACACGATGATCCAAACCCATAAAGGATCCCGTAAGAAAAGTACATTAAAGTCAGGTTTGGTGCTCGTGACGTCACTACGAGCGCAACGGTGGAGATGACGCCGCCAAAAAACGCAATTACACGATGGTTGAACCGATCACAGAGAAGCCCCACTAAAGGGCCGAAGATGCCTGTGGATCCGTATGCCAGAGAACCTACCCAGGCTAAGTACAACTGCGACGAACAAAAAGAAAATTAAATTAATGTTTAGAACATGATTTGAAATGTTAAAAAAAAACTTTGTAACCATCGGCATGTGCTACAAATGAACACCTATACGACAAAAGTGCCCTCGGGTAACATTCAGACAGAGCCGTTTTCTTGGATAAAATTCATTTCTGTAAGGTACATAAGAAATGCCATAAAATTTTTACGAAATTTACATAATTTATAAGCTCACTCAGTCTGATGCCGACTAGGTCTTTGAAGGCCCTTGAATAATATATAGATTTAGCCAAGCCTAAAAGCGGAGCTCTTATTAGTTTATTTTCCAGCCCTACGTTACGCTGAATAAAAACTGTAATAAAACTATCTACAGGCAAGTCTCTGTAATAAAACTATCTACTGGCAAGTCTTTGTATTATATTTCAACCCAACCATTTCCTCAACATATAAACACTATTACAAAGTAATTAGTCAGGGAAATGGAAAACTTGTGGCATATACACCATGTTTGAAATGCCACTACCATAGTAAGCTAACGGGATTGAGGATGTGTGTGGGAATAGGCCTTCTTGTCTGTATCAATAATTTGCTAATCACTCCTGTTGGCAATGTTTTGATGAGGTTGGGCTATCAAGGCAAAGGAACTGAGGATTTTAGTAGGCAGTAAACTAGTTTTGAGAAGGACACAATATTTTATAACAAAAACTCGATGCATAGGTTGTGCAAAAACCTTTAATTTGACTATACTTTTATAGCCAATACCAGTCCCTTCAAATATTAAAATGTTTGGAGGTTCAGAGCAAAATCTGCCATACATCTGCAAGAATTGATGTAATTATTTTAAATACAAGAATATTAACTGAT